AAAATTAAAAGTGAAATATCTCATCAACGGCTTGACAGAAATAAAAAATTCCAACACTCAAATTTATTTTAACTAATACTCCATCTATTTATGATATATTTTTTAAATAAGTTTCCATTTGAAAATCAAAAGTAGGTTGTGGTTTTACCCCCAAAAATAAGGGACATAAAAAAAAAAACATAAATATAAAATTGTAGAGCTGGTTATTTCCTAAAAGTTCTAAAAAACAAATCCGGAAAAATATTAACATTTTCCGAGATAATGATTGTATCCACTTAAATGAATCACCCGGTATATAGTATTGTTTTCCAACAATATTTATAGTTATGTATAATGTAGCACAATGTATATAATATATTAAATATTAATTTACTCAATCCATAAAACTCAATCCATTTGTCCCCATAATTTTTCATTCGGTAAAAAAATAAACAACTATTTACAAAATTTGTATGAAATATGAGTGATATCCCTCCGTCAACTACGTGTAAAAATTTCGTTGAGAAAAAAAAACTCAATTTAAAAAAGTTGTGATATCAGAAAGGGGCTAAGTAATTTCTTATATTCATTAGTATAGAAATTGTTTATAATTGTTTGTATATTTGATGAAGCGCGATTTAAACAAGCTATTTAACTTAGCTCGGTGGCTATAATCATAGTATGTACTTAAATAGTGTAATAAATAAAAAAAAATAAAAAAATAAATAAATTAAAATAAATTAAATAATTAAAAAATAAATTATAAAATTGAGATGTAAATATTCATGCCGGCATTGTATCTTTATTGATAATCGTAAATATTATAGTAGCCGTCAATCTATGTTAAATTGTTTGTATTAAATCATTGCGCTCCATCAAATACAAACAATTATAAACAATTTCTATACTAATGAAATTAAGAAATTACTTAGCCCCTTTTAGGTATCACAACTTTTCTAACTTGAGTTTTTTTTTCTTACCGAGATTTGTACACCTAGTTGACGGAGGGTTTTTGTCGGGATATATTATAAACGTCGTATTTTTTGTTCGATTTAAATTGTAACCATTTTTATTAATTTTTCACTGCGAAATAATTTATCAAAAAAAAAAAATAAAGAAAGAAAGAAAGAAAGAATTATATAATAATAAAAATGGGGACTGCTCCCCTGGTTGCGCGAATAATGGTGCGTACATAAGTATTTAAATTATCGCTGATAAAAGAATGCTATAATAAGGTATTCAGAATGCAACAATAAGCAACAAATATAAAGTCCAATACAGTTGCTAAGGAAAAAATCGATATTGACATAGTTATTTACAGTTTTTTTCTGTCCCGCCCGACGTTGCCCGTGCCAAACAAATGTGCCTAATAAATATTAAGTTTTCCCTCTGGATTCCCCGTTTCGATCTCCGTCACCACTAGCATTGCATTTGACCGCGGTGTTGCCCTTAAAGTTATGCATTTCCTTTTCAAACTCGTATAAATTAGTTATACGGTCACTGAGCAATGAAAAATTCAGTATTTGTATAACCGCCGACGGTAACACGTCGCGGTACCGCGCGGATACCGTTCAATTTTATATGACGCTCGGCGGATCCTGACGGATATTTCGACGTAACTTTTACGAAAACCGATCCAGCAGTTCTCGAGACTACCTCGACCGAACATCTGAATGCCTACGTCTTTATACATGTGTAATATATGTATAGGTACGCACGAAGGGCAATCCGTGTCGTTGATTAATTATGTCCATTTCCAAACCGGGTCTTAAAGCGTATATAATAATATATGTAGGCACGTATGAGCCATTAATCTTCGATCTAATAATTATTACGAGGTCTTTCTCTCTCTCTCTCTCTCTCTCTCGTCAATTATTAATTTTACCTCTCAAATATATTATAATCGCGAAACGAGCATATTATATTATTATTGTTTATCATACACACATAATATAATAGAGAACTCCGCGTCCGTTTCGGACCCGAACACCTACCAAAACTGTTATAGATACTTTACTATTTTACTCTACAACCAAAATTAAACGATAGTTCCGTGATATCTGCGTTATTCATGTTTTAACTATATCGCGCGTTTGTGTAGCAAAAACAACAAAATAATGCGTCCTTTTAACAACCTCAATACAAATTATTACATTCAATTTTTACATGATTTAAATATATAAACTATACAACACAACGGCGTATAGTGAATATTAATGATAACAAAAACAGAAAACGTTCAAAACAAAAAATTTATCGGCTTTTTTGGAGCTATATAATTTATATCTGTATAGTCGTGCGTAGTTCTGAAAAATCGTCAAAATAACGTTTGGTCCTTACTCAAGTATTCCTGTCCATCCCCCCCTTCCGTAAATACGATACTCGCAGCGGTCATGGTGATTTTACACACGTTCTTTTTTATTTCTTCTTTATTTATTCAATAATATATAGCCGTTCCACGCCCGTCGTTGCCCGTGCCAATTTTTTTAAAAATTATTTTTACCTTTATTTCCGTTTTGTTTTGCCCGTATCAATATATTAAACGAACAAAAATAGGTGGAAAGTGGGTAGTCAATTTTCTAATGTGTCATACATTTTTTCATCCGTCTTACCACAGATACCCGCGCAGAATTGGGATTAAAATATGCAACCACTATAAATAACACTAAAATTATAAGGATATAATAGTACTGTGTTTGACGTTATTGTTACTGTACCAAAAAATACAAAACTTCAAAGATGAAGTTTTACGTGTTTTCACTTTTCATTTATCCACCCAGTACAACCTATAATTTTTGTACCTTGGTACCCATTTCAAACCAATAACAGACCGGCAGAAAGTCAGATAGACTTTTTATTTTGAATATTGTTATAGTAGTTATGGCATTTTTACTTATGTTTATTATTTATTTTTTTGTTTTTATTTCATCCGTGTTACTATGGTAATTCATAATTTAACAAAAATAATTTCATTTTCGGACCAAAAATACCTAAAAAACATTTCGTTCTTTTAAAGTTTTATTTTTGCGACAAAAAGTAACCTAAGTTTTTCTCCGAGGCCCCATCTATATCATCTCTATACCAAATTCATCAAAATTGATTCAGCGGTTTTAGTGTGAAAACGTAACAGACATGACTTACATTCACGTTTATAATATTAGTTAGGATTAGGATTAGACAAAAAATCAAATGTATCGCAATATGTATCTTTCTGAATAACTATGTGTATAGCGGCGGAATATTTTAAAAATTAAAAATAAATAAATTTATTTTAAAAATCATTGTCTTTTGATTTTAATCGTGAATCGCGCAAAAAGTAGTTCTTAAACTATATTTATGAAGCTATCACTGCGACACTCTTTTCGCACCTGCGGGTAGGGGTGAAATATAATAGCTAGGCGCGTTTAAACGGATTTATTTTTCACTCGAACGAGTGAAAAAAACACTTTTCGCACGACGGCGACGATATAATATAACAATAATAACATGAAATCACGCGAGTAAACAATAATATTATATTGTGTAGCGTGAAAAAAAAAAATGTCTTCGTTAGCACATTGGAATATATAGCCGCGCGATAGTTATTATATTATAGAGCGTGAACAGTGTTTTCTTCTATATACCTAAACGCGCACGTCGCCACGATACACATTCACACGCACACACACACACACACACACACACACACACGCAGAAACCAGACAAACGACCTACTTGGTGATTTACTGCCGACCGCGACGTTATAGAAAAAAAAAAAATTTAGAAAAAAACTGCACACAAAATGCATACAAACGCGGTTATAATATACAAAACAATAATAATGAAACGTAATATATAATAATATTATTGTATACATTCCTATTATATGAAATTAAAACAATATCCGTTATTGGTATGGTATTACGTACAGGGTGATCGACACAACAACATTATTATATTTGAGAAAGTATATTGATTTTTTTTTTTTGTTCGGAATTTGTTTCGTTAGAAAATTCAAGATACAAGCGGTTCTAAAATGGTACATTACACCTATTGTACCTACTGTTATGACGTTTTGTGGTTTTATCACCTTTGTTTTTTGGAGTAAAACCGCCATCATTATACCCACTTTTCGAATGTTCACAAATATACATCTCTATAATAATTAGTGTCTTACGTCGCGTTAATCACCCTGTGTACACGTATCGGGGGCGTGCTCACGGAAGGGGGGATTTGGGTGTAATATCCACGGGTGTAACCGAATTGGTTTCCGCTTAAATATGTGGTGGTATCCACTACTGGTCGAATTGGTTAGGACTGTATAAACTTAGAAATAAAGTAAGCACGGTTAAAAATGTGCGTAAAATGAAGTCATTACCGGTCACCTATTAAATAATAATAATAATTAAAAATTCAAATAAACATTTAAATTGGTTCGAATTTATTTTAAAAATGGAAGCCAATAAGTCATAACCCATTTAAAATAATAATAATAATATTTAATATTGTTGAGGTGATAACTCGAAGCAAATTTTCTTCAAATATTTTAATCGTGTAAATGTCAAAAAAATAGGTCGCGCGCAGGCCCCTCCTTAACGTATTCCGTCGCACAGTTCCATCACAACCAATTTGACATGTGAGGTATGAGCTCGGGAACCAATTCGGTATCAGTCAAATCCCCACCCTTGATCTTTTTTCTTTCTTAATAACTCATTTATACAGCTTAAAGAAATTCCTGCAGTTGTATTTTTTTTTTTATTATTGATATTTAGAGACGATAAGTATTGTAACAATTTCTACCTAAAAATATATCAAATGATATACACAGGAAATATACCGCACGATTATAATTGTAATTTGATTCTATATAGTTATATCGCGTTTTGATTATAATATAATACTATAGTGTATTTTACTACAGAAATGGATAACAAAAATTATCAGGTATGATGTAATTGTATTATTTCAGCTAGACGTCCGTGCCTGGACACAAAAACACCGGTGTAGTATATACTTATTATAAATCGTATTGCACTCGACTGTAGACCGTCAAACCTCACAATGTCTCCGTTCGGTATGATCGTCTTGACAGCCGCATCGATGGCGATGCTTTCCGCTCAGGTATGTTAAAATAAAAAAAAAAAAAAAAATATTGCAATACCGGTCATTCTGTATACGGCTTAGGGTAATACTTTCATAGTAAAAATATTCGTCTATCGATACAACTCGGCATTCACTCGCGTTATACGTATTATACAGAGTAATACTTCGTAGATTTTAGTTTCCGCATGCGCGCAGCGAAGTACAATAATTTATTAAGCTACTTAACTCGTGTTATAAATGGTTTTAAACGAAAAATTCGGTTTTTTTCGTTTGGCGAAAATGCTCCGCGGAGTTAGTGTAAGCGAATAATTAAAAGACTCGGTATAATTTAGATTATCCGCCGGCCGTTGGTATTTTATTTGAAATTTACAATAATTTCCCTCCTTTTTTTTTCGTTTTTTGTAGGTTAGAAATATAACGACGTTTTAAATGTTTCATCGCGCGTAGTTGTTGTACCCTATTTGAGAGACAGGCGTGACACACGCGTGTACTGTTTCAGTACAACTGAATGGCGACATAACGAAATCATCTTTACGCAAATTTGGTTTTCCGAATAAAAGCACTTATTATAAAATTAAATAGAGGACAATATTACGGAGGATAACACGATGCTTATTTTATTGTATATTAACTTTTTGAATAGTTATGGTAGTTTAAAAATGTGGAAAAATGAGTCGTTATTACTAATCGACGTGTTCGGCATTCTAATTAGAATAATAAAAAAAACCCGCGCTATCCTACCAACTCTGAGATTTTGCCGGCTTTTAATTTAATTTAAAATGTTTTTCTCTAAAATCAAAATTTGCCGAGTTTTACGTTATATGCCGAGATTTCGCTGTGTCACTGTGTTGCTTGTGTATGTTAGTTGAACTGACACAGCACATACGGGTATCACGTCTTTTTAAAACGCGAAATTTCTCTTTTTTTTCAAATTTGAACTTTGTACTTTATTCGACAAATTGTTTGAAATTTCTTTTACTTTTCCCGTTGTCCACCGACTACCACGGTTAATCAAATTCCACCAAAATCGTTTTTCGATTGCAAATGGTTTATCGTTGCTTTCAGTATATTATAATATAAATTATTTACGATGAAGACTTATGCAGTATATTTTAGTATACTTTTCCAACTTCCTACTAACAATTTTGGCCTATGGGGTGACCGTAGTGCGAACTAAAATGTTAATAATTTCTCATTATAATATAAGTGTGTATAGAATTCATAGACGCTCGTACTGATTGGGCTATTAGATTATGTGCGGTATTGATAATGAATTCGATTTGTTTTTCAATTTGTTTTTTTAGACAACCATGTTTCGTACAAAACATATCCCCTACTAATCCGTTTAATTTAGGCCCATAAAGAGTGTTATTACACGGTTGTACATGTATATATATATATGGTAATGTGGCCGCGGAACATTGGGTAGGCGGTCAGATTAAATTTAGCCATATTGTTGACCTAGAAGTCTGCGAACGTTTATAATTGAATTAAAAAATATCCAATTCTAAAGTATTATAAACGTTTATATACATTTATATATATATATTATTTTTATTATATACAATATAATATACAGTATAAGCATAAAATATGTATGCATATACTATACATATAAATATTATTATTTTGTTTTCTTACTTTTTACATTTTTACTTATAACTATATTTATCGTGATAAATATCTTGACGTATATAAACAAATTAAATAATTGTTGAATAACTTTTGGTCTTCAGCTATACGAATCCCGTTTTTGTCTCGTCATCATAATCTATAAGTCCGGTAAATATTCGTAAAAAAAAAAAAAAAAATAATAATAATAAAATTCGATTTTAAAAAGTTTCCATACACAATACATGCACCTATCGTATTATAACTATAAGTAATATTCCGTGTGTGTAACGTGTATCACACTTTGTGACGTATAATATTGTGTATAATATTAATTTTATACATAATATGCGTCCGAGTTTAGTGTCATATTTCACATATTTCGTATGCAAGGTCAATTTTTTGAAAGCACGTAACTACAAACTTCATAAACATATAATTCATATTGGCATTAGTACCGAGTTAGATTAGATAGCCACAATTATTTATAATAGCGTTTTATATACTTGTAATAATAATTATTATTATCAAATTACCAGATTCTGTAGGTGTACGCGTGGGTATATTGTATATCGCAGGTTTATCTCTAGACCGAATATATCTATAATACCTACCTATATATTCGTAAAGTGTGTAGAACAATTCTGCATACTCACATCAGCAGAACACGCGTACTATTATTAATTAATTTAACATATGAGGTGCCTATTACAGGTATACATTATATTACAATATGATAATATATTATACCGATATACTCGTATATTCCTGTCGTCATTTTGTTTTATACCTGCGCTGTCAATAGCTATTTCGCACGTCGTTGCCAGTGACAAATTGTGAATGACCATCGTGGATGCATGCGTGTAACCGGTCCCCACCTCCGCCCAAATCCACCCCGCAGCCACTCGTTCCATAAGTCCTTCAATTTCCCCCTTTCACCCTTGACATCTCCTGGCCATCAGTAATACCGCATTTACTTGCAAAGTTCTTGTTCAAGCTAATCGATCTGCATATATAATTATATACGATAGTAAATTATTATGATGATATTTCGGTTACATGTATGTATTATTGTTTCGGCCTTTAAACGGAACGAAAATTATGATTCAATCTGAAGTGTTCAACATAACTATAATAATATCGTATGCCGGACCTATACTGTGTATAAACATTTTATTACGATTCTGTGACAAACGGCTATATATATAGGTATATGAATTTGCGTTATTTACACTTTACAGGTCACGATGCAAACGGTTAACCAAACAAAAAAACCCCGTTGTGTTTCGATAAGGCCAATACCTCAACCCGAACGACAACAGCCGTCGTCCTGGTCGGTTTCAAGATCACTATCATCGCCTCCAAAATCACCATCGGCTTCGGATCTAAAATCATCGTCATCTCCATCAGGTTCAAAATCATCTGTGACAGGTCCGAGATCGCCAGTAGCCGTGGGCCCGAAAACAACCTTTTCATCACGTTCAAAATCACAATCGAACCGTCCGGTACCAATGTCGTCCGCGAGCCCGAAACCGCCATTTTCATCGCGTTCAAAATCGCAATCGAACCGTCCGGTACCAATGTCGTCCGCGAGCCCGAAATCGCCCTTTTCATCACGCTCAAAATCACGATTGAACGGCAAGTCGCCACTGTCGTCCTCGGGTTCGAGATCACCGCCTGATTCGGTACGCTCGAAGCCTTCCAGAAGAAAATCGCCAAATTCAGTTCAGGGTTCATCGAACCCGTCATCTCCAGACTCGAGGATGATTCATCCGTCAGATTCCTTTAGCCTATTCAAATTGCCTTTACAATTAATTTCTAATATTTTTATGCCACCGACCATCAAGCAAAACACGTCTTCAGTTGTTTCACCACTAATCAATTTCCAAATGCCATTGACATTCTCTACGATTCACGCTGCGCCGTACCAAGTACCCTGTAAAAAAATAACAAACTCGCCTACTTCTTACGGTAACCCTGAGCCAAGAACTTGTGCAGACATTTCGACCGGTCCTTGCAGTGATTCTCCACCACCGGCCGTTCCTTGTAGTAATCCTCCATCACCGGCCGTTCCTTGTAATAATCCTCCACCACCGGCCGTTCCTTGCAATAATCCTCCACCACCGGCCGGCCCTTGCAATAATCCTTCACCGCCGGCCGGCCCTTGCAATAATCCTTCACCGCCGGGCGGCCCTTGCAGTAATCCTCCACCACCGACCGGCCCTTGCAGTAATCCTCCACCACCGTCCGTTCCTTGCAATAATCCCACTACCGCCGGTAATACGGATCACCCAACACCAAATTGCGTACCCCATACGCAGTCATCGAACGGTTTCCTTTTTTATAATTTTTTGTGCAATCTCTTATTTCACAAAACCATTAGCTTTTTCCCGCCCGCAGTGATAACAACGCCCACCGTAGACGTGGTGAAAAATGAAACTACCATATCGTGCATTACTCCTACCACATCCGAGTCACCTATCGAAACAATTACAACAGCCGAGACACCGACCGAAGGGCCGACCGAGACGACAACAGCTCCATCGGTTACGCCAACCACTCTTGGTGATGAGGTCACGCCCGCAATAGATCATAATGGTACTTCGTGTCGTCCCGATACAACATTAACGTCAACACAGACACCTCCCGTCGACGTTGATGTAGTATGCAAAGTCATAACCTGTACACCGATATTACGTTACATAATAACGAAACATTTGGTTTGCAAATCTTCGCTGTTGTCCACTTGCTATTTCAACAAACCGGTGAAAAAACATTGGCACTCTCATCAACCCGTTATAAACCGTCATCCGAACACGTTTCACGATGCGCGTAACGATTACGCGACCGCATCGGACGATTCGACTTTAGACAATAAACAAGCGGAGCTTATTCTAAAATTGATAAAAATTCTACTTTCTAGTTCCAATAACTGACCGCCACCGCGGCTTCTATAACTGCAGTACGTACGATCAATCGAAATTATTACGCGTTCTAGTTTATTATTCGAGGTTTTATGTATGCGTACCTATACAATATTTAAAACGATTTTCCCACGGGCATTAGATATAACGGCACTGTATTTTATCATTAATTACTTTATTAATATAATTCCTATGTATACAATAATATCGTTAAAGAGATATTGAATAGATGATATACGAGCATTCGATAATTTTTCCCCCTACGATATCGGTATATGTTAACTTTAAAACATCAATTTCGTGTTATAATACAATTCAGTGGCTCGGTGTAAGTAGGGTCAATGTAAGTTTTTTGAAAAAATCAGTTAGAAATAAAAGACATTTTTTTTTTATTTTCCAGCTTTGTGGGGAATTGAAATTTTAAAGCCCGTTTCCCAACAATCACAAAATGTGACGTTGGCCCTTCTATTGCACCAAGCCACAGAATTTATATGTGTAAACCGTATACACCGCACACTGCGTATGAAGACAAAAATGAAATCAATCAATATTATATATTTGCATTTATCGTTATAATATCATGTATTATATACCTAAATAATAAAATGTAAAATATTTTCCGAATATTATATGTTACAATAAATATTATTTTGTACGTTTTAAATATTATGACGGATGTATTTAATAATATTATATATTTATCGATTTTCGATATTATGTAGTATATTTTATGATCTATATTTTGTATTTTATATACCTAGTATAATATTTATGTTACAAATGTTGTTGTAACGTATACTATATACGAAATATGAATAAATAAAATAGTCGAACCATCAACGTACCATAATACCGCAGAACTTATTGTGCCGCGGTGTTTATATTACGTTATAAATATTAAGTAGATTCAGGCGGACATGGAAATAATATCTTGTACCGTTTATCACAAATGCAAAGCTATAATATAAATGAAAATCTCTCGACATTTGTCCAACAAAAACGGAATAATTATGACACAAAACACTATAGCATATCTATATGTACGAATAATTGTTGTTCGGGTTGTGGGACGTTTTTAGTTTGGTTAATTGTTTGCACCGTGACCTATAAAATGTAAACAGCACACAATCATATATATATAGGTATACATCATAACACCATAGTAAAATATTTATACACTGTGTATATAGGCAGGCACACAATATTATTATTATGTTAAATACTTCAATTTAAATCATAATTTTCGTTCCAATTAAAAATGTAAACAATGTACAACCCATATAACAACATTACAATTGTATAGATTGATTAGCTTAAGTTAATCAAGTTGTGAGAACATTGCAAGTATAAATGCGATATTATTGATGAGGGCAAGGACGAAAGGGTGCAGTAGAAGGATTAATAGAACGATTGGCCATTTACACTTTGTCAAGGGCAACGCTGTGCGAGATAGCTATAAAAGAGTATAAAACATGATGACTGGAAATATACGAATAAAAAAAAAAAACGAAAATCATAATGTAATATAATGTATATCTATAATAGGCACCTTACATAAATATTCCGGTGATGTGTGTATGCAGAATAATCCTGCATTCCCACATCACGAGCATATATACGAGGTATACCTATTACAGGCATATTAGGTTTAGAGATAAACCTGCGATACACAATATGCCTACACCTACAGAATCTGGTAATTTGATAATAATTATTATAACAAATATGAAACGCTATTATAAATAATTGTGTTTATCTAATCTAAATTAGTACTAATGCCAATATATATATATATTATATGTTTACATAGTTTGTAGGTACGTGCTTTCAAAAAATTGACCTTGCGTACAAAATATGTGGAATATAATGATACCATGGTATATAACGGTGGTTTAAAATTAATAATGTACAATATTAAACGTTACAAAATGCCACTCTACACGGACGGAATATCACATATAATATTATAAATACATGTATTATATGGACATTTTTTAAAATCACATTTTAGTAAAATTATTATTATTTTTTTTTTTTACGGATTAGGTGTAGCTGAAGACCAAGAGTTATTAAACAATGATTTAATTTGTTTTTTTACGCCAAGATATGTATAACGAAAGATAAAATTATAAGTGAAAATTTAAAGTGAAAGAAATTTCAAAAAATTTGTCGAATAAAATGTAAAGTTCAAATTAAAAAAAGTAAAAGAGCTAATAATGGGGATGGGTGCAGCCACTGCTGTAGGTGAGGAGTAGATGGGAAGGTAGAATACATAAGGTTAGGTTCAAGTCTCTACGTGTATTTTTAACCGTATTACAGCAAAAAAACTCTCAAAAATTAAAATTCCTTAAAAGCTCAAAAGTTTTAGCGATGATACCGTAAGAAAGTAACTCAAAAAGGTGTCGTGTGATTTTTCAATTAAATCATTTTCGTGGTACAAAACATCGTCCGTGTTAAATTGAAATAAATTGTACGTTTTTCTACGTTTTTTCCCACTCAAGTGTTTTTTTTTAAAAAATGACCTTTTTAAAGTACAATCTAGTAAATTTGAGCTGTTTGAAAAGTTGCTACATGTAAAAATCGGAGCAAGTTTACTAGAGAAAAACGTGTTCACAGATTAGAACAAAGAAAAAGATGAAAGAAATGAACAGCATTGTAAAACTAATAGCTCCTTCGCTACGCTCGGAATCTAAAAAAAAAAAAGAAAATGTAGAATTTCAAATTTTAAAAAGACGTGCTATGTCAGTCCAACTAATGGGTAACACGACGAAATCTCGGTATATTTCGTATAACTCAGCAAATTTTGATTTTAAAGAAAAAAACGCTTACAATAAAATTGAAAGATGGCAATATTCCGGAGATGATAGGGTGGTGCGGTTTTTCTATTATTCTAAGTAGAATACCGAATACGCCGATTAGTAATAAATAGATATAGAAATAATAGAACATTTTCATAAATTACCATAATTTTTCAAAACATGTTTATAAAATAAAATAAGCGTATCGATATCGACATTTTTTACTATGAAAGTATTGCCCGAAACGGTATACATGGAATGATCGGTATTGCAATATTTTTTTTTTATTTTAACATACCTGAGCGGAAACTATCGTCATCGATGCGGCTGTCAAGACGATCGTACCGAACGGAGACATTGTGAGGTTTGACAGTCAACAGTCCAGTGCAATACGATTTATAATAAATATATACTACACCAGATATTCCGAAAGTTTGTATCCACCGAAAGTATAGGCATAGGCGCGTAAGGCAAATATATTTACTCTCATTACATCATGAATTTAAGATAAAATAGAAGTGAAGTAATAGGAAAATCGTTTCAAACCGTATTATATCATAACTCAAGCCCTGCTCATGTATAATGACGTCATAACTCGACAATATATACACTTCACATGCATATGCGCATGCATATATCATATAGCATGTTGTATGCACGCGTATGCATTTATGTTATATAATATTGTATATTATCGTAATTCGCTCTTTTGTTTATTTTGTTTTCAATATATACAGGCTGTCCCATGAAGATATATCTTTTGGGTATCTCCGGTCTGAAGATAATGAAAATAATCAAATACTGAATTTTTTTATGTTACTCGTAGGAATAAAGACTACAAGTATTTATTTTTAAATTAAATATTTTTTTTCAGTAATAAAAATTTAAGAAATTAACTTTTTATTTTATTATTTTATAAAAAACCGATGTTATCTAGGGAATAACCTAACCACGTTACGCGATAACATCGGTTTTTGTGCGGATTAGTAGGATTTAAAACGGCTGTTATACACTTAGAAACAATTCATTGGATATAAATGTATGAAACATTAAAATTTTCAGAAAAATAAACTCTACAGAATAATATTAATAATAATAATATAATATATAATAATAAATATAATAATAATTATAATTTTCTGAAAATAATAAAATAGAAAGTTAATTTTTTTCCTAAAAAAAAAAAGTAATTTAAAAATAAATATTTGTAGTCCTCATCCCTGTAAGTAAACATTGGAACGTTTCTAACGAACTTACTTTAGAGTTTAAAAAACATTCCACAAACGCCTAAATATGCCGAGTTCCGTGTAACTATAAAGACTACATCATACACTAATAAACCATGAAATAGTAATGTTTCTAGGATGGTTTAATGAATATATTAAATGTTTTTTCTTAAATTCCCGTAACACTTCAATATTATATTCGAGTTATATTTTTTACTGAATAAAAAAAATAAATAAATAATACAGAAATGTTTGGACCCGCGGCTTATATTTTCCTACGTATTATACCTAACCTACTTGGAACACTATGACCTGACCACTGCGCCACCTATCAGATGTGAAACACAACATATATTTGATAACACACAATATTTGATATTTAAACACTTTCTTCTTTCATAATATTCTATAAGTGAAACCTCTTTTCTGAGCCTGCAGGTGTAGGGATTTGAACTTCGGTTTTAAGTGTCACGAAATTAAACCACTCCATAGAGTATATAGTATACTTACTCTGTACCTCGCCTTAACAATACCACCCTTCATCACAACGCTGATAAAATTACGGTCATGACAGATTTGATCGTCATGAAATCATATATCATTATCCCATGAAGTATACTTACTATGTGCCCAACTCCGAAAATTCCCCTTCCAATGACCTCCCTCCAACACTAATAAAATTATGATCAAGACAGATTTGCTCATCATGAAATTATATACAATTACCCCATAAAGTATACTCAATAACTCTGTGTCCTACCCCAACATAACTACCCCCTCCCTTTATTTCAAAAAATTATATTATCATCTCGTTCCGGCAGCATTCCGTGATGTGAAATAGATACAATATTTTATATAATATATTCGATACAATATTGTATAGCGATTATGGTGGTCCAAAAAAACGTAATTACGAAATTCAATATGAGTACCCCTTAGTTTTTTTAATTGATATAAAAAAAATGTTTGTAAAAATGTGGACTTGATAACTCTTTCCGTGCCGAAATAAGGTTGAATTATGAAATAAGGTAATTGTTTTTCAGTTTTTTTCGATTATTTTGAATTATTTTATGTTTTGTTCATTTATTTATTTATTTATTTATGAACAAGATACAACAAAGTAGGTCCTATTTCATTATAATATTCAATCTTTAGCCAATTTTTATAAAAGTAACATTTGTTTTCATTATCAGATATTTTTGATTTTGACTTTTTTTTATATGAAATAATGAGATAAATATAATTTATATTAGGAAACTTTTTGAAGATAGAATTATTTTCTATAATTTATAATTTAAAATTTTTTCGCTTAATATTTTAGTTTTTCGAATAATAACAAAAAAAAAACTGATAAACAACCCCTTATGCCATTATTCAACCCTATTTCGGCACAGAAAGGGGATGAGTTATCGAGTCCATATTTCCACAAAATTATTTGTTCATATCAATTCAAATTAGGGGGGTCACTCATTTTTAATTTCTCAAGAAAATGTCAAGCCTAAATATGTATAAACTAGGACCACCCTAAATAGGCTATATAGGTATGTTATGAACATATTTTATAGATTACGAAACGTTTTTGGAGTATGTTTTTAAAAACTACGATTCAAATCGTTTATCGCTTTCGGTATTGCTGAAATAGTATAAAAATGCGCTCGAGATTCGTATAAAATTTGCAATGAACGTGCTGAATTATTACCATCACCAGCAACAGATGTCTGCAATACATGAA